TCAATCCATTCTCCTCCCAGCCTGTATCCATTGCCCCAACCCATGTGCAGGACCTTGCACTTGGCCATGTTGAACACCCTGAAGCCTGTCAAGGTGCCTCTGGATGGCATTCCTTCTCTCCAGCATGTCGACCGCACCACACAGCTTGGTGTCATCAGCAAACTTGCTGAGGGTGCACTCAATCCCACTGTCACTGACAAAGGTGTTAAACAGCGCTGGTCCCAATACCAACCCCTGAGGAACACCATTTGTCACTGGTCTCCACTTGGACATCAAGCCATTGACTGCAAGTCTTTGAGTGTGGCTTTCTCGGCTGGAGGCACACATTGCTGGGTCATGTTGAGCTTCTCATCAGCCAACACCCCCAAGTCCTTCTCCTCAGGGCTGCTCTCAATCCATTCTCCTCCCAGCCTGTATCCATTGCCCCAACCCATGTGCAGGACCTTGCACTTGGCCATGTTGAACACCCTGAAGCCTGTCAAGGTGCCTCTGGATGGCATTCCTTCTCTCCAGCATGTCGACCGCACCACACAGCTTGGTGTCATCAGCAAACTTGCTGAGGGTGCACTCAATCCCACTGTCACTGACAAAGGTGTTAAACAGCGCTGGTCCCAATACCAACCCCTGAGGAACACCATTTGTCACTGGTCTCCACTTGGACATCAAGCCATTGACTGCAAGTCTTGTGGGTGGACCACCCAGCCAATTCTTTATCCACTGAGTGGTCCATCCATCAAATCCATGTCTCTCCAATTTAGAGACAAGGATGTCATGCGGGACAGTGTCAAATGCTTTGCACAAGTCCAGGTAGATGATGTCAGTTGCTCTTCCCTTATCCACCAACACTGTAACCCCATCATAGAAGGCCACCAAATTTGTCAGGCACAATTTGCCCTTAGTGAAGCCATGTTGGCTGTCACCAGTCACCTCCTTATTTTCTATGTGCCTTAGCATTGGTTCCAGGAGGATCTGCTCTATGATCTTGCCAGGCACAAAGGTGAGACTGACTGGTCTGTAGTTCCCTGGGTCTTCCTTTTTTCCCTTTTTAAAAATGGGGGTTATGTTTCCCCTTTTCTAGTCAGTGGGAACTTCACCGGACTGCCATGACTTCACAAATATGATGGATAGTGGCTTAGCAACTTCACCTGCCGGTTCCCTCAGGACTTACAGATGCATCTCATCAGGTACCATGGACTTGTGCATGTTCAGGTTCCTTACATGGTCTCTAACCTGATCGTCTCCTACAGTGGACAGTTCTTCATTCTCCCAGTCCCTGTCTTTGCCTCCTGCGACTTGGGCGGTGTGGCTAGAGCATTTGCCGGTGAAGACTGAGGCAAAAAAGTTGTTGAGTACCTCAGCCTTCTCCATATCCTGGGTAACCAGGTCTCCTGTTTCCTTCCAGAGAGGGCCCCCATTTTTCCTAGTCTTCCTTTTATCACCAAAATACCTACAGAAGCTTTTCTTGTTGCCCTTGATGTCCCTGGCCAGATTTCATTCTATCAGGGCTTTAGCTTTCCTAACCAGATCCCTGGCTGCTCGGACAATTTTCTCTGTATTCCACCCAGGCTACCTGTCCTTGCTTCCACCCTCTGCAGGTGTGTTGTGTGACACAATAGTGGAAAAGTGAAAAATCAAACAGGTATCTCCTGCCTTTGGAGGTGCTGTGTGAACAATCCACACAAGATGTACTGTCCCAGGAGGTGGCTGCCTGCCAGCTGGTCTCTGCAGTGGCCGGTAGGTGCTCGCAGCTCTCGTCAATGAACCTGAGCTGCCTTCACAGCAGCGGCTGCAGACAAAGTTTGCTGCGGGCAGGCAATGGCACCACAGAGCACTCCTGGTATCTTCTGTGTCCCGGCGACAGGCGCCGCTGCAGCTTCCTTCCTGCTCCGCTGCCATGCAGCTGGTGCAGGAGTCGTGGAGCAGAGGGCATAATGCAGTGCTGCATGCACGTGCGTGGCGCAAAGGAGAAGGCTGAGTCTCAGGTGCCCAAGAACTGATAGAACTGTGTTCGCCAACATCTGCAGCAGAGGCTGCGTAAATGCTGCAGGAGTGGAAATACTTGCACAAGCACTGCACTGCCATGGCGGCCACGACAGCCACTGAGACACCCTGTGTCAGAGGTGGAAACCTCTGGCTAGTCCAGCTGCAGGCCCTTCTTTCAGAGCAGCTACTAAAAGCATGGGCTATGAAGAAAAAGGCTGATCTAGCTTATTTGACAATCAAAGGTAAAAATCCTAATATGACGAACACTCTGCTGCATGAATGGATCAGAAAATGTTCAGAAAGCTCCACTGCTATGAAAAGACAAAATGCATCCACCGCTGAGTTTCCTGGCATAGTCCAGGCTGTCGAGGGGGATGTGTGCTGAAGCAAAGGAGTCCTGGCGCCTGCCTTTTTACCCCAGTACTCCCTAGCGGATGGGAGAGATGGCCAAAACACTTCTCTTTGGCTGCACAGCCACAGCTGCATTTTAGACATTCGAAGAAAAACAAACAGCACTAAGCTAATAAAAACAGTGGGAGGGGAGATACCCGTCTCCCTGCTGCTTTTCCAGCTCTTCCAGTTGCTTGGCAACTAGCTGTGGAGGATCAGTTACGAGGCTGGTGCCTTTTTGCAAATATTTGGTTGAATATCACAGGGCATATTATCAAAGCAGTTCAAAGTCTTCTGAAATACATCCTTGGTTTTATGTGTAAATCAGTGCAAATAAATGGGTGAGCTCATGCTGTGTCAGGAACTATCATAGGAGTGCAAGTTTGTTTACAATGGGCTGCAGCGTGTTGAAGGTTTTATATGTGTATTATATTTACATATCTTCTTGCCTGAAATCCTTAACTGAGAAAACTAAGAACTTATACACAGAACAGCTGTCAAGGTCAATCAACGCACTTCAAATATATATATCTATATTTTAAAAAAAAAAGTGTATATACTTATATGTGTATACCCAATAAATAAATAAAAAAACAATAAAAGGAGGAAAAGAGACACATACAGAAACCAGCATGAATCCCATAATTGGCTAGGACAATATGTGTAAAGTAGTTCCATTTGATAGAAAACACAAGGAAATAGATATGAAAAGGGTAGACAACAGATGAGCAGATCTGTGCTAACCAGATAACTGAGGAGGTTCAGTTTGTGCAAGTGAAAAGCAGTGTTATTTTGCTGTTACCCAATCTTTCACAGTTCTTAGGCACAGGCTTTTACAGGAATGCATCTGTGCAGACAGTCTAGATTAATTCTGTCATGGTTTGTTTGCATATATGTGCACACACAGAGCCCGGTGTGCTCAGTTCACCCTTCCAGCTAGCCAGATCATGGGGTTTTTATTACATTACTGTGACACTGGGTCCAAGATAAAATACTAACAAACAGGACAAATTAGACTGAGCACAGGATTTAGCTACATATCTACGTAGATCCTGGTCCTCAGCTGTCTTCTACATGGTCTGTTTGGAATACGAACAAAGCACCTTGATTGTGTCCTCATTCGTTTCTGGAGAAAGTCTACCTAGAGCAGGAGCAGCAGCAAAATGACCTCAAAAGTCTCCTCCCTTCTTTCGAAGTCTGTAAGCAGTGACCAGCCCAGCTTCCTCCAGGGCACGTCCTGCATTAGCAGTCTGATCGCCGGTTTAGCCAGCTGCGTTGCTGCTGCCCGTTGGTGCGAGGAGGGTGAGTTTCTATGGTGGTTCTGTACGTGCCCCCAGAAGAACACAAAGTAAACGTACTGAACTGCTGACAGCCAGCTCATTTCCTAGTCTAATTCGGTGACACTTCCTTGGCATGACAACAGGTACAAATATTACCAAACTGTGAAAAGTCAGTACTCTCTGATACGACACAATTTGCACTTTGTAACTAAAATACCCAGATGCTCCAAAGCCACCCCTCCTGTTAGGATACATTTTAATGTTAGGAGTTGAGATCATCTCTGGCCTCTCCAAACTGGGGACCCCCAGCACTCATTGGGGATCCTGAAAGTATGTTTGGGATTCAGCTGCTTAAATTCCTTTTTCTCTACAGAATTGGTAGCAAGCTGCCAAATTACCTGCTTCCCACCAGTTTTAGGTATTCAACAGATGAAAGCAAATGTTTCTGTTGAAATAGACAGTAGATTTTTAAGCAAGCTGATTAGGTACCTTTATTTTTTTTTTTTACAGTTGACAGCACAGACTGTTTTGCTCCGTATCATTGTTGCATGGCATTCCATTTGGCACAGGGTTTATTTTTAGCCAGAGACTATCAAAAGCATTTTTCAGGAGGACTGTCACTGCTCTTGAACAAGGAATCATATTACTGCAAGAACTTTGCTGAAACAAAGAAGATATATTGGACAAATGGGAAATTATAAATCTAGACCAACCCAAACCTGCACTGGTAATTAATGTTGCTTTTTTAAATGCAATATACCATACATCCATCTACAAGAAGCAAATGATATTTCAGGAAATAACTCATTGCTAATTTACTCTTGAGTTCAAGGATAAGGTATTGTATTGTTCTTGGTTTACAAGAATAATGGCTTAACCCAAATCACATATATAGTCTGTAAAAGAAGACAAAAAGCTAGTAAGCTAGATTTCTTTGTGCAGTCGTATAAGATCATATTAACTTAGATTATTATGTTGATTTAGCTCATACTTCATTAGAAAAAACCTTTAAATTTCCAACATTTTTATGCTGTGTGTCTATGGTAAAATTTAGGAAATAAGAGCTAAAAAATGCAACCTAAGGTTTAAGTTTACTCTTGTTCAAGTTAAAAATATTTCTGATAAGGATTCATATGTATTAGTTGTCTATGAAATCAATATATATGTGTTATTGGTTGCAGCAACAATGCTTTAATAGCTGTAATATTTTAAACTTTCATACTTAATAGAAAAATATATGAAACTGTATAATTGAATGTTTAAAAATCAAGTGCTTTGGACATCATTTGAGTTCCTGGGTTTTATATGTTTTGAAGTGGTTTATGAATCAGAGTTTTTTGTTGTTAGATGAATGGAAGAAGAAAGTTAGTGAATCGTATGCTATAATCATAGAACGATTAGAAGATGACCTACAAATCAAAGAAAAGGAGCTGGCGGAGCTGAAGCATGTTTTTAGGTAAAATGTTTTGGAAACCTATGAATTTCTTTCAAAGGAGTATTTGCTATTAAACAGTATTCAGTTTCACATGGCTTCTTATGGAAGGAGTTTCTCACATATGGAATGCATGCTCTCTAATGTCTATTTTTGGGAATATGTCATTACAGTTCTGGGCCAGAGTCCCACAGCATAGTACCAAAATTAGCAGCTGTTAATTACTAATGCCAATATTTTATAACAAACACCTATATACTTTTGTAAATTAATTAGCTTTAATGGGATGTCTAATTTTGTTGCGTACTTTTCAGTTTTGCTAATGTGTTTCTTCAGACAGGAATATTGCTGAAGTAACAAATTGTAAACAAACACAAAAGCAGATTATCTTCTGAAAGTGAATTTCAAATTCACGATTGTAATCACTTTCTCAGGACAGCACATGCTAACAACCAAGTTCACCCAACCAAGTAACATACTTACATGTTCATTATCTGAAAAGCTCAAATAGAGAAAACACCCAGCTCATTGACTGTGAATAAATTAAGAAAAAGATCAGGTAAATGATTGCAGACATCAAAACCACTTGAAAAAATAGGGGATTCTAATCAGGAATAAATCACATCTTCAAAAAAGCCAAACTGTTCATATAAATTATTCGTCATGCTCACTTTCAGCTAGCATAATTATCACTGTTTGAGCCTGTTAAGTGAAAGATGACATTGGGCTTTCACTGCAATATGCTGAACACTTTGGCCATGATCCAGTATGGTACTTCAGTACTCGCCTCATTTTAAGCCTGTTTAGTAGTAAAACTAATTATCTTAACAAATTAGAGCCAGAATACTCTTTGTTTTAGTTAAGCAAGACAATTGAGCGTATGGTGAACGTGCTTAATTCCTGCATTAGGCATAAAAAAAAAAAAGAAACAATTAACTTTAAGGTTAGCAGACCTGTGGCAGTTCAGCTTATCAGTGTATCCTACCGCCCCATGTAAGTCTTGTTAAGATGTCAGACAAATTCTTCTTTGAAGAGCACTTCTTTTTTCTATGGAAGGAGTGGGAATTAATGATACTGGTTCCATTGCATTGGAAAGGCTTTCTTTTCAGTCAGGCTTAAGGAATCAGCCAGTGATTTCAGTTCCAAAAGCTGCCTTCATCCATGAGTAATGAAATCAGTCAGATTTTGTGAGTATCTAAAACCCAAATATGGCCTGTGGAAAAAAAGTCAGTCTTGACTATATGAAAAACTTTTCTACAGTAGCAGTGGCTATTTTCAGAAGACTTCTCATCTCTGAAGTAGCAGAAGAATTAATAGGCTTTCCTTGCGATATTTTCCCACAAAAACATTAACAGTTTGCCAGTTTATAAGAACTCCAATGATATTAAAATTGAATATTATTAAGGAAACAAACTAAAAGTTTTTATTATTATTTTTCAAACTGGAAGAAGAGGAAAATTTAACTATATAGCTAAAATGGTAAAACCTGGATCTTAACCACACATTAAGTGCTAGTAATATGCATTTTTAATGTAATTCTAAAGACAAAAATTGAAGCAGGAGACATGACTTTACAGCACAAAAACATTCTGTGATTTTGAGACTTGCAGAATTCATCCTTTAAACAAAGCAATCCATTCCACCATGCAGTCACCGCAGTGCATCGATAGGTACAGTGCGTATATCCATGCATACCCAACATGTTACAGCAAAGACAAGTTAACTAAAAGGACTTGTTTCCCAGAACCTGGAATTTATTTTTCCTTCAATTGCCCCTGAAGGAAAACCTGTAGAATAGATGAGCCTTATATCAGTACCATTAATCACAGTATGTCAGAGAAGAATTGCACAAAGATAAAACATATTTGAAGAATGAGATTTATCTTTACTGAGCAAAACATTTTCCGCATTAGTAAAGTGGAAGTGGTAGATGAATGGATGTCACCAAACAAAGGTAAAAGTGACTATAATGTGTAAAAAAAAAATGTTCCATACAGAAGCAGTTTACATTTAGGACATTAAAAAAATTAGCTTCCTTAACACAATACCCATCTTCTAAGGAAAGCATATGAAAATCTAGACTGATGTAAGAAATAATCTCACTGAGGCACAGAGTTTTGGCAAAATAAGTCCAATTTTTGCATTTATAAATAAGTGTTATGCTCTATTTTGATCAGGCCCATATCCTTTTCAAATCATGCACTGTTCCTGAACATTATAAAACACTCAGTATTGACAGCTGGCAGTCAGGAGTTTCCATCAGAGTGGTCTTTCTGATAGGAAAAGTGTTTTCCAAAAAGCTAGTTTTTATGAGAAAAAAAAAGTCAAAATGTCTCACAGGGAAAATATTTAAATTTTGCATATTGAATATTTAATTACAATTCATTTAATTTGAGTTAGAATCACTAAATTATTTACTTACTAGCACAATACTTTATACATCTGTAATTCACACCACCGTTTTCTTCCATGAGCAGACATTCCTGGAGATGCACTCCTCCTGTACTGCAGTGTGGGTGCTCCTCATTCTGCCCAGTCCCTAAGTCATTGCAATGGTCATGGCACTGGATGCCTCAGCACGGGCGAGATCCTGTCCTGAAGCCTACCCTCTGAAGAACACCCTCAGAGCCCAAACTACAGTTTCTGTGTGTTATAATGTGTCACTTTGCAATCTGATGGCTCTCAAACCACTCCACTAAACTGGAAAAGTCACTTTCAAATTCTGGAAGTTAAAATGGTTTCTTTCAAAATAAAACCCAGAAAAATGTGGAGGTTTAACATTTCCACATTAATTTTGTCACACTTCATGAAAAAGAATATGAAAACACAGATTTTATTCCTAGTTTAGAATGATAACAGACATTGAACAAGCAGAATATCTTTTAGGATAGACTTAACTAAGAGAACAGAAGTAAAGACAAGTCTCTGGCTTTGTCTGCATTTTAAATTCTATTTAAAGAATAAATTATTGAAATATTTCTTGAAAACACCTAAGTGTCACCTTGCTTAACAGAGGTCATCTTGCTAAGGGGAACTTTGCATAGGTTTATATTTTAAAAAAAGAGAGAAGGATTAAAACCTTATTTTCAATTGTAACCATGTTAAATATGTTTAACAGTGCTACTCACTCAGGATGGATTCATAGATATACAAATCTAAGTGTTCTGCTCAACCATGATCATTGTTATGCTGATACTGAATGGAAGAAACCCTAAACTTCTATTGACAGACCAAAATCAGCATTCTCCACAAAAATATTAATTGCTATGTGTATTTAATTTTCAACAATTGTAATTACTTCAAATGTTTGACACAGCAGTAACAAGTCAGTCTGTGCTAAAGGAAACCCATGAGACTCGATGACAAAACCTAAAATGTTCAAGTATAGTAATAATTTAACAATCTGTAAGAAAGAGTCATCATTTTCCTTCACATTTTTGAGAAGATCTCTTCACTGTTTAAAACACACATGTGACACTTCAGGCATTCAGGAGTTTTTCAAGTAAAGATATAATGCATATTTAGATAGGACTTAGAACCAGAGGCGGGTATAGCTCTAGCTGTGGAGAGGTTACTGCTCTCTTATAATATAATGGGCATTAACTACGTGGAATAAAGTTGTTCAGTAGCATTGTCCGCAATCTTATACAAAGATACTGTTTGTGTTTCTAGAAGCATCTTTAGGTTACTATCCATTCCCTGTACTGCCAGCTTTTCTAGCTTTATTTTATGAAGTACTTTATTTTTGAGCTTTGATAGGCATTGTATGACAGGAAAAGGAGAATGGAAATAAATTAATTATAAAATTGCATAGGTTGTAACATATTTATGTATGTTGGGGTTTTTTTTTTGCTAAAAGAACAGAGCGTCAAATACAAATGCTGAGTGTCTTTTTTAATGAGTCAGACTTGGTATGGATCCTATTTAAGAGTTATTATGTTAGAAAAGTATTAATAACGATCACTTCATTTCAATTATTCATTTCATCCTTGTGTGGCCTAGAAAGCGCCATGAAATCATTAAGCTATATAAAGGTGTAACACTGTACCAAAAATGTGGAAGACAATTAAACATTAAATTGAGCTTCATTTTGTCATTGTCAAAATATGTAAGCGACATTTAGTTGTCTGAGAATTTTAAGTGCAAACATGCCTTTCCTCAGCAGGATGTGAGTACAAACTGCAATATTTCAATTGTTTATATCAAAACCAGAAATACAAGTTAATGGGAAGTCAAAATGAGGATCTATAAATTATTTTTAAATTCTGTTTTAACATATCACATTCCAGTGCAATAAACCAAAGCAGAAAAACAGTGCTATAAAATTATATCAGTCTGCTGAGCTTTACGGGGTCCATGTTCCTTCTGATGCCTTAAAGTAACTGTCAGTAATGGGTGTTTTGAGCAAAGGTGAGAGTCCTGTCCTGGCATGGCTGCTCCCCTGCCTTGCTCCAGCCCTTCCTGTCCTGTCCTCTCAGATCTCAGACAGATCACAGATCTTCTTAGGACCTCCTCAGCCAGATCACAGATCTTCTTAGGACCTCCTCAGCCAGAAATGTAACTTTTAGAAAGACTACTTCATTCCTCAAAATGTGTTAGAATCATTTTTCTTTTAATCATTGCCAATTTTTGTCTGAGCTTTGGTTACCTTCCTTCTGTGTATGTGCTTCTGTCGTGTTTTCATATGTTTCCATGTATTGATTGTATAGTGTTTCTATGATCTCATTTGGGGAACATAAACTTATGTTCTGAAAGACTTTTTCTGGTTATTCTTTCAACTTGACTTGTTTGCCTCTAGTTCTGTGCATGTCCTGCTCATCATTTTAGAACAAATACATAGATTCTTAAAATATTTCTTAGTTATTTTTGCATCAATAAAGAAACTGGGTTTTTATGGATTATTTATATTTCTAAAGAGTCTTCCCTCTTTTTTTTTCTCTAATTTAAAATGTATATACTGTGACTGGATAGCAGGATTGTTCAGAAAACAATAAATCTGGACTACTCACTTGATATCAGTAAAGCATTTCTAGATTTACAGAGTGTAAACTGGTATAAATTTAGCCCTGTGTCTCAAAAAAAAAAAATTATATTGAGATTTCTCTTCTAAATTTTTTCCAAATGAAAGAAACTGTGCTAAAGGATGAAAATAGTAATCATGTGTAAAATCTCCTTTTTCAGTTCTGATGAAGCCTTCTGCAAAGTCAATTTAAATTACCGCACAGAAAATGGGCTCTCTCTTCTTCATTTATGTTGCATATGTGGGGGTATGTATTTGAAATATGATGTTCTTTAAACATTTTATTTACATGGATACTGATTTGTTCTGTCTGATAACTGTCAGGAAGATTATATTTTCAGTGAATTTCTTTCTGTGTTGTCCTTGTTGACAGTTGGATAAGCATCTATAAACATTACTATAAACTCTATTGCCAAGGGGGTTGAATCAAGTTACAATGAACCCCATTATAGCTGATTCTTTAATTAAAAAAAAAAAGTTTTGGTTGATAATGTAGCATGTTTTACTACAGGTGTTCAACTAATTCAAAATTACTTGCTATATGCATTAGTTAATCAATCCATACTCATCTAGTATTGCTCTACATTTCTGCATTCTGTACATGGTACAGACTTCAGGCTAGGGAGCTAGTTTTAGCAATACTTTGCCATATATATAACATCTATATTTCTGCTATAATGAAAATACCTGTATTTTATTTCATGGTGATTAAAAGAAGAACTCAAATGCTTCAGTGAAAAACATCAGCTGATAGGATTTTTGCAGATAGCAAATCAGCATACGCAAGAAAAGAGTGCAAGATGTCTTCTGGGATGTTCATAAAAAACACAATAATGGTGGAATTTTCCACTCTGATCCACATTGTTGCTCTGTTATCGACATAGTGAGTCATTAGTTCATGCACACACTTTATACTTGTTATACAATTTTCAGCAGAAATTGGCCAAGAAAGGCAAAGCAAATTTTACCCTACCATTTCATGCATAAACAATTTGCTCAATCTTAGCTATACGCTATCACGAAGGAGGACCTGATCCTGCCCTGCTGAAAACCGAGTGGATCTTTACTCTTAATTTCAGAGAGTGCAAGATCATACCCAAAGATGACATCAGTACCCGGTAACATTAAAACAATTGGTGGGATTGCTGAGAGGAAGTTTAAGAAAACATACAATGTTAATTAATTAGGTACGGTACATGAACACTTGAAGGAGGGGAGAAGCTATTAGATCTGACATTGTCTTTGATTACTGTCATAAGTATTCAGAAGGCAGATACATTTTTGAGATCATCACTGCACATCAGAAAGGTAAGAGTTAAGCTGCTTGCCCATGCTGACATTTATTAACATCCCTCAAAATGATTGCCCTTGTAACAACATTGAGTAGAGAGGGGGAGCAGTGCTTCTGTTTTGAAAGGGCAAAGGAGTTAAGTGCCTGAGAAACCAGAGATTCTGGAAGCATCTGATAGTTTATGGAGTTCTTTGCAGCATGGTCTGGATGTTAAAAGAGGAGTTTGCTTCTTTAGAAATTCAACTATCCTTAACAAATCCTTATTAAAGTGTGAACAAACGGTGAGCCAGTACATGGTCAGATCTGCAGCTGTCCCAGTGGATAAGGAGACGGTGCCTAATTCCATTTTGAGGTTTCACAAGATATATTTTATGACTTGCCTCAGGTCAGCAGATAAGCTACCTATTTCTATTTGCTTTCAAACTCACGCAGAAGTTTCATGATTCATCTGCACATTCTTTTCTGTAAATTACTTTGTTTTCCAATTTTCTTTCTAAAGGTAACAAATCACATATTAGAACTCTTATGCTAAAAGGACTGCGCCCGTCCAGATTAACAAGAAATGGATTTACAGCTCTGCACTTGGCAGCTTATAAGGTAAATTATTTTGAATAGAATTGATGAACAGAAATCAGAACTGAGGAGCTTATTTGTCTGAACTATCTAGTTGAACTCTCTAGTTGCTACTTCTGGTGAAAATATGAATTTCACATTTACGATGCATAGGAAAATGACTTATAAAGAGCGCATGCACAGGAAATCAGCATGTGCTTTTCCAATATCATCCTCGAGAATATGATATTGCTTTGGAAATATTGATTAAATCATGCAATGCAACTCAAGATAGAAGAGTGTTCTTTTTATTGTTATAGTTATTAATAGAAACAATCTCAAAGGACTTTATTTTACAAATTCTCTCTTTTTGGCTTCTTCTTCATTGTTCCTCCTCAAGTTCTACAATCGGCTTCAATATTAATTTTATTCACTATTATATTTATCTTTTAAGACTCAACAATAACAGTAGCAAGGAATAAAGTGAACAAAGACAGCATTTTCCTAAAGAATTGTTATGATTCTTATTTTGAGATGAACCATCTTAGAAACTTAATCCATGTATAGACTAGCCCCAAAAGCACTTAGCTTTTTAGAGGGAACTCAGATCAAATTTAGGAGTTTATATTCTAGACGGCAGTGTTCAACCCTTATATGTCCCATAGGTGCCACAAGGTCATAACAGCCTCTATTTCTTCTGCAAAGCTCTCACGGCAGATACCATTCTGATTTGCTGTATTGTCAAAGCTGACAGAAGGTTAAGTAGGTGGGCACCTGTGTGCCACTCTTGATCCATAAGTGGTGTTCCTCACTGTGTTGCAAGAGGACACAGATGTGGTAGATGGTGTTTAATCCAAATACCCAATTCCAAATGCAGCAGGAAGCATCACAGTCACAGTCATTCTCCTCCAAAAGCTCCCTGTGGAAGAGGAGATGGTTTGCCTTCTACTAGGTAATAATCTGATAATTAGAATATTTGTTCAGAGAGAGGACCAAAGTCTCTTCTGGAGAGAATTCAAACTCATATTGCCAATCAGCAAGCTATGGCTGTCCTGGAGTGACCATGCAATCAGCTTTCCCGTGGACATGAATGGGAGCATCATTAGAACAGGGAGAGTGAAGGAAAAGCTTAACGTAGGTTAAGTAATGACAGTAGTGCCTAGGACACGTGGCATATAGACAAAATTATTATTTCTGTGAGGAAGACACTGAACCACCAATGTAGCAATGTTTTAGCTACCCCTAGAGGGGGGTAGGAGTAGAAAGAAAGAAGAGATGCAAGGAGCAGCTTTTGTAATTTTGTCTGAAGGTGGGAAGAAAGACACACCCCTATTTCCAATGTTTGCTATGGACAAGCTTAAGCCAATCTCCTGCTCCAAATGCTGGATTTCATCAGTCCCATTACTGGAACTCTGAACTTGCCCCAGGTGTGTATAGAGAGGTCGTCATTAAACAGGCTGAAGACTCAATCATGGAGCCAGATACCTAAAAGTTATGTGCTGTGGATGCCATGGATGCCTTATGCTCTGCATCTCCATGGCTTAACTCTGTATATTTGCACTGTAAGATACCTTCCTCTCCCGGTTACTATAATATGAGCACTTGCTATATCTTGCATTATGTCTTGGATTTCTTATGTTAGTTTAATTTTACAACCACTGGTACCAATTAACTATGCAAGCTATAGAATGATGACAATAATCAAATCTTATACCTCATGGGATGAAGTGATGGTTTACAGCAATCATAAAAGAAACTTTCCCCCATGTGCAATGTTGCATAATTAGCCAATTCCCTTAGAAAGAATTTCTCTGCCTTTCTTTAATGTCAATCTCAGTGGTTTCCAATTAATCATTTAGTTGAAAATAAAAATTCCTTTGTTTAAAAAGACTTTTGTAACATATTTCTAGGATGTTTTCATTACTTGGGAATAGTTTTCATTTTTTTATCAAATCTTGTTTTGTCTGTTTTCCCTGTACTGTAAAGTTGATAAATCTCTTGCATCCACTTAGGCAAAAAACTGTATCAGCAACTTATTTAATCACTCAAATGATGTGATACAATATCCACTATCTTTTTCAGGTTGCACAAAGATAGGCAAACTAGTATGAATTTTGGGATCTAAAATAAAATTCAATATAACATTTCTCCTATAAGTGACATTTTAAGACTATAAGATTTACCATTATTTACCCAGTGACAGCTTTTGTTGTATTATAGTTCTTTTCTAAGTAAAATATAAAGGAGCCTAAAGATACCTCAGAAACAATAAAGCAATGTATATTAAGACAGGGCAACTTCTTGTGAAATTCCTTGACTACTTCTTATCTATAATCTGAATATTTTGTGGCATTTCAAAACAGTGAAACAGAACTAGGAAAACTGGACTGAGTCACTAATTAGAACAGAACATTTCTAGATAATTCAAATTCAGCCTGTCTTCCCAGGCTGCGTAATGTCCAACCCATTATGCAACCAAGTACCACGCTTCATGATCTAAAACTATTTGGTAGGAAAAGTGATATAAAGTTTTACTGTCCATTGTTATCAAAGAGAAATTCCTAATATTTCCTGGAAATAGGAAAGCCATTTCAGTATGAACAAATGTGCTTTCACAGACACATTTTAACTGCTGCTTCTCTGACATTGATTAATTCTTACCCTTCTTTTAGTGTCTGCTTCGAAGAGGTAGAGAACAATTAGGAAGTTTGGTGCTTTTAGCATTTCTTTTGCCCCTGAGTTGTGTGCATTTCTTCTTAGGAAAAAAATGAAAATTAATTGGAGAAGGCTGATTTCTGGGCTGGATGATGATGGAAGGCAGACCCCAGGAAGCAAAAATTATTATAGCTCTAGTGGGTGCAGTTAGAAAAAGTGACGGTGAGAAAGATGGCCTAGTTTCTCCTGCCAGTTCTGCCACTGCCCCAAACAAATCATTTAACTTCTCTGTATTTAATTTCACTATTTGTAAAGGAGAATTTATTAACAGTCATAGTCCCTGGGCATTATGACTCTTAATGTGTTTCTCAAGGGTTTTTTTATTACTATCATTTGATAGTGCCATTTGCTGTTGTTATACCTGGAAGAAGTCATAGAAAAAAAGGTGTGCATGAAAGGAAAGAAGTGAAACAATATGAAAAAATAGCTCCTAGTTCAGAATTTGGCATACATGCTATAAATTTATCCTGGGAACTCCTCAGGTGCCCTTCTTCTATGTTAGGTACTGTAATGTTTTGATATTTAAACAGTTTGTGTGAGCACTTAAGAATGGCTTGGAAACTGAGACATCTTTAAAGACATCATAAAATCAGAATAGAGACTGTTTTTTAAAGATACAGGCTTTAGTATAGCAAAAGAGAGACTTCTGATGCCCAGGACAAGTCTTCCCTCCCCTCCTTTCCTTGCACTCTTGTGCTTCTGGGGTCATGGTCAGTCCCTTTTCTTGAAACGCAGCAGTGCAATAGCTGGGGAGGCCCAGACATACACAGCTCTCTTTGGCTCCCTCCCTGCAATTGTTAGAGCTGTGTCCCAGAAATAATATGTTTTAAATGCATACCTTTTAGGACAATGCAGAACTGTTAACAGCGCTGCTGCATGGTGGAGCTGACATTCAGCAAGTTGGGTATGGAGCTTTGACAGCCCTTCACATTGCCACAATCGCCGGTCATCATAAGGTAGGTTTCTCCTTTTCTATAAAGGAAATTATATGAGTGAGTGCTAATATTAGCAGGTCATTTTATTTTAGATTCATGCCGTTCAAAACAAAACTCAGAATTGGCTTAGTACAGCTAAATTTTATTTAATATTTTTGTACCTTGTGGGAAAACTGTATCTGTGCATATATTTTTACATTGAACAAACATGTACAAAGGACATAGATCTGTTTGTACATCTCTTACCTTTATATAAATGTCTTTAAAGTCTTGGCAATAAATGGCATTGTTTTCTAAATATCAGAAGTGTTAACCAATAGATACATGATGAAACACACTCACTCGTACACATTAGGATTTCTGAACCTGGATATGGAGTGAGGCTTCCAAATACTGTCTTTCTGAGTGTGAAGGAAGCACGGTAAAAGAGTTTTATTCCCTCTTCTAGGTGTCACAGGCTCTGCTTCACAGCTCTGTGATTTTCACTTCAGAGAGGGACAGAGGTTCTCAGTTTCAAGTTATTTTATACTTCAGATTAGTACAGAGGAAAATGTTGTCAGGATAAGTCATTTATAGTGTGAATCTCAAACATACATATTGATAAGTCTCCTGTGGGTTGGAGACTTGCCACTATGGGGAGCAGAGGAAGGAAGAGAGGGGTGAGATTCCCTAGATGCCTATAATCAGGCCTTTCCCTTTCTACACATGCTGTCAGTCATGAATCTGTTTTCTTATCATTTACCACCTCAGTTCAGTCATTTCACACATCATCTGATTTCTGTCACCCTGGCAACAGCTCACTCAGCGTAATTTTTTTTTTTTTTTAATCTCTTAAAGTACTGGGTGTGCAAAATTACCTTGGTAATGAAGGGGTTATGACTATAAACGTACTCATGAATTCAGCTACTTCACTTTTTATCTCCTTTGGGTCCATTAAGCAAGCAAAGATTTTGCCCTCTGCTTGAGTAAAAGTGTTAACTTATACAGAGTGCTGGACTAATTTATGGAGACAGAAACATTAGAATTCTTTAAAGAGATAATCAGCAAGAAATACAAGAAAAAAATAACTAAGTATGAAGGAGGACATATAGATTATATTAATACCTGCCTTTAATCTGTGAATTTGGTTGTGCATCTTAGACTCATAAATTCACTTCAAGTATAAGAATTTGGCTGGATGAACAAAGCATGTGTGTGGTTTTCAACAGAAGAAAAGAACCTCTATGTATGTACATAGCAAGAAAGAATACATGCCTTATGAACTCCCAAGTTACAGCAGTCACTGACCTTATTGATGTAAAGAAGGCCATCTTTTCTGCTACATTTTCAGTCAACCAGCTTATACACACACACACTATTTACTACACATATGCATATAGAAATAATTGCATAATTATATATTGAAAGAGAGAAAATACATATCTTTTCAGACAGACAGTTTTGTTGGGGAAACAATAACTCTTTAGAAATTTTCTGTACTATCTCAAGAAATCTGCCAACATTTAAATACCTGGTTGTTGTGGTTTAACCCAGCAGGCAGCTAAACACCACACAGCCATTCACTCACTCTCTCCTTCCTCAGTGGGATGGGGGAGAGAATCAGAAAAAAAAAGTTAAATTCATGGGTTGAGATAAAGACAGTTTAATAGGACAGAAAAGGAAGGGATAATAATAATAATAATTTAAAAAAACCCAAAATAAGTGATGCACAATACAATTGCTCACCACCCACTGACTGATAACCAGCCAGTTCCCGAGCAGTGATTGCAGCCTCTCAGCCAACTCCCCCCAGTTTATATACTGAGCATGACATCATATGGTATAGAATACCCCTTTGGTCAGTTTGGATCAACTGTCCTGGCTGTGGCCCTCCCAGTTTCTTGTGCACCTGGCAGAGCGTGGGAAGCTGAAAAAGTCCTTGACTACTAAGCAGTACTTAGCAACAACTAAAACATCAGTGCATTATCAACGTTATTCTCATACTAAATCCAAAACACAGCACTATGCCAGCTACTAGGAAGAAAATTAACTCTATCCCAGCCAAAACCAGGACACTGGTCTGAGAAACTATGAGGCTAGCCACTCAAGTTCAGCTAAGGGAAAGTGATACTTCTTCATTTAGGCAGTTTAGATTTTCTTTGACTTATTTTTTCTGTTTAGTCTGAAGAAATTATCAGATCTCTGAGTCAGTAACAATACGCCAGATTTTCTATTTCATTTAGGCTTTCAAAGATGCTGATAGATCACTACTGGAATTTGCAGTCAGGATTTTAATTTCCAATTAATTTAATTACATATCTGAATTACTTTGAAGATTTTGAAAATTGCACCGGGCACCCTTTGCATATTTTTGCACTTAATACCTTTGAGTACTTCACCTTGTGTGTTAAGTACACATATACATAGATAGAGACAGTACCTAACATCACAGTAGTCATTGCAGGGCTCAGAGTTCTTTGGAGTCTATGGTCACTGGTGCAAATAATGCCAACCATAAAGTAGTAACTGGGAGAAACAAGCCACGCTTTGCAAATCCAGCTCTGAACAGCTTGCATACCAGCACTTTTGCAAGTGCTAGTAAGAACTGTATACCCCTAGTAAATTTTCTACTATAGCTTGGCTGGAAAAGGCTGCCTAATTGTGAGCGTGAAGGAAGCAGAGATTTACTGGAGCAACGGTTTTAGCACTGGTTAGTGTAATGACTACATGGTAAGTCCCATGAGGGGGCTGTGTCAATGTAAAAGTTCCCCCCATTTCTAATGGAAATATACATTATGCTGTTTCACCCTATAGCCTATATGTATATGTCTGTGTGTGTGTATTTGTGTGTGTATGTATACTTTGCCTGCTGGGGACCTTTCCCAGGCTTGTGGGCCATCAGGGGCAACCAAGGATACTGGTGAATTTAGCTTTACATTGCAACCTTCAAACTGGTTTGAAAATTATTTAAATCTGACAGGTGTGTTTGCGCTTTTTGTTAAAGACAGGATGCATAAATACACAGTTGGTGACAACCTTACATTACCTAGAGAGTCTGTGTGTGAAGAAGGTTAAGCTGAAAAAGGTTAAAGCAATTTACGGGTGGTCACACCAAGGAACTCAATTAAAAAGCTGTTAGCCTTCAGTGTTTCAGTCAGCAACTCCAACAGTGATCAGGGGACAAATCAATCCTTAGCATCTGTTTAAGCTGGTGAGTGAGGAAGCATGCTAGCAGGGCAAGCTAACCATTTATATTCTGAAGGTCAGCTCTCCAGGTGGAAGAATGAGGCTCCTCAGTGTGTCTGCACACAAGTGAGGCTGAAAGCAAGCGGGGATGGAGGTGTTTGCATTGTAGCATTACATCCCTGAGCTCACAGGGCATCGTGACGTTCCCTTCAAGTACACATACAGGTCTTTTTAGTAGCTTAATGGAAAGCCTTCCTTGTGTATCCTATTACTAAAAAACAGATAAGGAACTACCATATCTAATTGCTCCGTGCAAAAATTGTAATGGAGATATTAACCAGAGTTAACACTTTAATGATCTTTTTCACTTTTATGGAGTATGTTTTTAATGTTTCCTCTGTGGGAAATACAAAGTACTCTTCTCTGCATTGGGGTTTCAAGTAATTTTAAAAATGTCTGCTCCCTGTCCTGCAAATGTCAAAAGAAGGACTGCTATTTGTCTCATGTCTTTAGCTCCTACTGAGGTGACTGAAATATAAGGGTGCTCAGAATCTGGCAAGGATAAGACCATTAACTTGATAAGAAATAACTTATTGTGGGTGGTTTTGAAAAGCCCCGTATTTCTTCCTTGGGAATGATCAGATCTTTATCACAAGTATTCTCCATAAATGGAGTGGAACTCTATGTAACTCATTTGGTTCATCTGCTGGTCCAGGGACTGAAGATTTATAGTCCAAATGAAGGCTTTTTCTTTCCTTCTTTATATAGCTTTGAAATTTTCAGTCAGCTGAGAATTCTCTCTGCTAGATTAAATACACAATTTCATTAATATTCATGGAAATATGGGATAATTTTTTCAACCCCCTCTAAAAAATAAAATGAATTTAAGAAAGAGAAAATAGATTTTTGGTCATGTTCTGAATTCCAATAAGATAAATAATTATTTATACCATTAAATAAATAAATAGAAGAGGTATACACACCAATCTATGCAAAACAGTCTTTTACTGCAGAAGAGGACTGACTATATTTAAGAGAAATAGAGAGAGAACTGGGGGAAAAGTTGCTTTGTTCCCCATTTTCCTGAAGAGCCAGTCTATGTCTTTCACTTCATCGCCACACCTGAAACCACTAGAGTGATCAGTTCTCTGAAATTAGGATACTGAAAGCCATCAGCATCAATGGGATGTTCCAACTCATTTGAGCCAGTGTGGTGTATAAATATTTCATCTGCTCTATGATTTAGTGCCATATTTTACTTCACCAAAACTATGCTGTTTGCTTATTTTATCTATTAATGGAAATTGCAGTTCTCAATGGGAAGAATGGAAAATTAATGAAAAATTATAAAATAAGCTGATGACCGTATTAGAAACATCACCAAATAAGTTTAATAAATCTCTCATTAAGTCTGCTATTTTGAAAACATTAAATGTTTCCAGCCCAGGAAGGTCATTGCTAAATAAATAATGCATGTGCCTCATACACATTTATGTGTTGTCCAGTATTACCACGTTGGAAAACCAGTATCATTGCCTATTCCACTTTGTAAATTAAAGTTGTCATTCCGAGATTACAACATCTGCAGATGTGTGAACTGGTCTGAGGGTTGCAGGCAGGATGAACCAGTGCTACTTAATTTTTGCAACCTGCAAACCTGAGAATCTGAAGTGTGAATGTGTTTGTAGCAAGCACCTGTTGGGGAAAAAGGAGTTAGTCCCATCTGATAGATTTTCTACAGTAATAAATCCCTTTTCATTTACAAGTCATATGTTACATCAGCATGTTTGTCACCTCCTGTCTTCACAGGAATTTTACTAGTAATAAGAGTACGTTCAAATGATTTAAGAAGACTT